TCATGAGATGTTCTAAAACATGAAGAGCCGTATTTATCTCTCTGTAAAATGCTTTTGAGGCAAAATCCAAAATGTTTATTTCTGTTGCTTTCAGATGAGCAGAAAGGGAAAAGATTAATTCTCCTAATTGTTTCCCTGTTGATAGAAAGCAGGGTTTACAATTGGGTCACATAAGTGGATTATTTCAGATTGGCTGTGTGATACCATACACAAAGCCTCATTAGCAATAGTAATTGCTATTTCTTAAGTCTGAGTACACAGGACAGAAGTATACTGTTCTTAAAGAGTTGTATTTGGTTCCATTCTTCTCTAGGTCATCTGTTCAATTGTGTATTGTTTTCAAGTCTCAGTTTAGACTTTTGTTTTAGTCCAGGTGCCCGTGTACCCGAAACTTGAAGAAGGGAATAAATGCTATCCTTCCGAAGTCATTTAATTCTCTGATATCCTGTTCTTCAAGCTTTCATTTGGTATTACTGTTTGTCTTAGTCGGATATCTGGAATCTCCCTTCAGTTTTCCTCATCCTTCCTAAAATGGCTGTGTAATGTATACCACATTGTGATAGACTTTGGAAATTTATCTGACAGTCTTATAGGGATCTTTCGTATTCTTTGAGATGTCACTTCATGTCAGTTAGTGCCACAGCTTGCCTGAACTGGTTTCACACTATTTAGATTCCCATTGTTCTCCATCAGTAAAAAAAGAACAACAATAACAAAAAGCAATTAAAAAGTGTTTCTTTCTAGACAATAAAAATGTGAAAATAATTTTTTTTTTTTTTTTAGGCAGGCTGGTAACTGTCCTTGGCTGTGGGACACTTAATTACATAATGATGTGTTTAATTATTTTGGGAGGTTAAAGGCCACTTCGCCATTAAACTCGATGAAAGTTTTTAACTAAACGTTCTAAATAATTCGAAGTTATTGTGAATTTATTTCTTCAAGGGAGTCAGAACATCTGATTCAGAAGGGTGGAAAGTTCATGAAGTTTTCTGTGAATGTGTAACTTTGATTATTTGAATTCAAAGAGGATCCAGTTTAGTTTCAAAAGGTTTATTTGTTTTTAGTGTACGTTTTCCATAAAAGCAGGAAGCTGGATTTGTTCACGGAACATTTGGAATACCCTGAAATGCTGTACTGATGACTGACCCAGTAGCCCTGCTATAGAACCTGAACTGATGCCCTTCGCTCTTCTCTCATGGAAATCTTGGGAGATGCTTCCACTTTCCAGATTCCAGTTCATGCAGTCACTGGTTGAGTCTCTGTGTGGAAACTCTGCCCTTCTGGCTGAACACCAGTAATTATGCTAAAATCTTGACTGCTTTCTTGCTCATTTAAAAACATTTTGAAAGAATTAATAATCACATTACAGATGTTGGCCCCTTTGAGGTAGGTCCAGTGTTGCTGATAAAGATAGAGTGTTAAATTCCTGGCCAGGCCTCACATTTGGCAAGTATTCCATAAATGCTGCAAGTCCAGCTTTGGTCCAGTAAGTCTACCCCAGTACATGGTAAGGAATGTAACCGCATCAGCTGAGTTTGCAATGCAGATCCTTCGGGGTTAAAGCCCCTTCTTCCCTCCATTTTCCAAACCATCTTCAGAGCAGCTCCTAAGGGCTTGCAAAGGTTTTCACACATCTGTCAACTTACTTGTTTTCAAGCTTGAGTTTCCTTTTTACTCATTACTTTAAAAAGGACGTTGTTTATAAAAGTTAGAAGTGTAGAGTATGTTTGGAATGACTGGTGTCATTTTAAATGTTCGTTTCCGGTTGCCATTCAAAACTCTGACAATTGCAGATGCAGATGGGTTGGCATTTGACTTAAACAGAAAAAAGGGAGCACTTAATTGGAATTTCACAGCAATTTCCACAAAAACCAGCTTAAACAAGGTGTATCTATGTACAGCAATCAGGAATTGACTAATCTCTCGTGTAAATATGTGTGTCAAAGCGATGATTCAAGGTGGTGCAAACATTCTACACAAAAGAACCTCAAGTCTAGTCATGTCACAGTGAGAAAGCCAGTTAGGAGCTGAAATTAGAATTGTTAATGTAGATTTTGATCACCTCTTTTTGAAATTTCATATGGAGTCATGTATAGCTACATAACAGACTATTCAATTAAAACTTTCTGGTTTATTTTAACATTGTTAAATGATATATTTTCAAACCACACTTATCACAAATGAGTTTAATTAGTCACTTGTCTCAAATGATCCATTTAAAAAAATGCATCATGTTTCTATTGTTAGGACCATGGAGTCAGACTGCAGACCACTTACAATTTGCAACTGTAAATACAAAAATCTACAATTCATTTATATCTTGCATTATTATTTTAGTGATGTCATTAGTATATAACCTGTTTTCTTTTTTTCATATTTTTTCATTCTTATTGAATTTATGTGTATTTCACATGGAACGTCTTCTCTTGTCTTTATAGCCCCTTCCCCACTGGCGTGCTCCCATAGTGCCCTCACCGCATTTCCTGCATTCTGTCATTAATGTTAAGGCCTATCAAGTTGAGTGACTTGATAGTGTCCCCAAATGTTCCTCATTACAAGTTCATCCACTAATCTATTTTCTATAGTGAATAAAAACCAATTGAACAAGAACATTGGTGGTGTTTCCAGATAATACGGTAACTGTTTAATTTTATGTATGTCAATGCAGCGTTGTTGAGTCTTTTTCTTTGTTCTTCTACCTAAAAAGGCAAAGAAGAAAGTAAAGAACCATGATTTAATTACGTATAGAATGCTTATTTTGGAGAGGAAAAAAGTTACCTAATAGAAATGCTTGAAAATAAATGTAACAATGCAACTTTGATACTTAGAAATAGATTTCTGGGGCTGGAGAGATGGCTGAGCAGTTAAGAGCACTGACTGCTCTTGCAGAAGACCCAGGTTTGATTCCCAGCATCCACACAGCTATGAATCATCCTTAACTCCAGTTCCAGAAGAATCTGAAGCCTCATCTGACCTCCATGGCATTGTATGACATGGGTGCACTCACATACATGCAAGCAATACAGTCATACACATAAAATAGAAATAATAAATAAAATATTATAAAAACAAACAGATTTCCATTTTCAAAGTACTTCATATAGTTCATAGTAATAATGGCACTGTAAATGTGCCTAAATAATGTTGTACTCATTTCATATAAGATAAAAAAAATGTATATTAGAATAATTCATGACAAAAATGAAGCTGAATTTTTCATTGACCATGGGAACACCAAAGTGCTCACCTTCCCATACTTTCCCTTAGTACTGTATTTTCAAAACAGCATTAAAATACTTCATTCCTTAGAAATCCAGATAGTAAAAAGTAAAAACATTAATGTTGACCTTTTTCCACCGTCTGATAAGAATACTGGATTTGTGATTAGTTTGCAATTTTAAGGCTTTCAAGATTCTACAAATACAAATAAACTGTTTTGGGGGCAGTCTATTTGTGTCATCATACCTTTTAAAGAGATTGACTAAAATAAGTACATGCTTAACAGGTGATGAGAACACAAATACTGTGTTCTTAAAATGATATGACATACTCACACCAAAGAGTTCCAGATGTGCCTAAGAAAGAGAAAAGAAGCTTCGTTTGAACATGAAGAGAACAGTAAAATCTTCATCTTTAAGTTGCGATTTAGATTTCATGTTTATCAGTTATGAAAGATGGTATATTGTAGGGTGTTCTGAGGGGAGTGGAATAACAGTTAATATTTTATCCTTGTTTCCTTAGAAGATGGGGGAATTTCCTTTTTCTAATTTTCAAAGACCATTTGTTCACTTATTTTAAAAAATGACTGATGTGCGAGGTATGCTGCTGTGTATGTCATGATAAAAGTGAGTGTCCATCCTCAGGAAGTCTTGACCCATTTTTATACTCCACTCAATTCATTATATTAAAGGAGATGATCTATTTAAGATACATAGCTTCATTCTCAATAAAGGACAGCTATTAGTCAGATTCTATGATACTCTTTATAGCTTCTTTTCATGTGATGAGGAATGGAGTTCAAATTTTCTCTTAAAATACTCAAAGTGATTATCAATTGTAGGATGATGTAGTCACAGTATTAGCACAGCTTATGATAATGGAAAAACCTCAGGACTTGCTGGCCACTAGATAGGTCTCCTTCCCAAAACTGTGCTGTATTCTATGCATATCTCTTATAATTTCAGTAATTGAATAGTCGAATGAAATGATCAGAGAAGAATTATATGTTGACTCACTACAGTGTAAACACAAATGCTTTCGGGTAACTAGATTTCTTTTGAGATAAAATGTGATTATTGATAAATATTTTAAACCATGTAAATGGGATCAGAAACACCTTCTTTTTTATTATGAATTATTTAGCAAGATAACTAGCTATCATTAATTTGAGAATCCAGCTAACTATACCTTTTAGATAACCTTCTGAAAGATAAATAGTAAAATGATATAATCTCTTTAAAAATTAAACCTAAGCACATAACATTTAAATTGTTTCTTGATAAGTAAAATGTTTAGACTTATGTCTAATAATATCATAATCCCTAACCACATGAGTTTATTTAAATGTAAATTAACTTGTATTGAAGAAACGAGCCCCATTTCAGAGCTCAGGGATTGCATGTGGCCAGGAGCTACCACACTGGCCACAGCAGATAGAGATCTATCCATTATCCCAGACTCTCTCTTACATCGTGTCACTCTAGTGTGCCTTACATAAAGGAATAGTAGATATTTTCTATTTGTAAACACGGCCGTATTAGTTTGTTTGGTGTTTTGATAGCTTGAGTCTTTCCACCACATCATCCACATCCTGAGGAAATTCCTGGGCAAGAATTTTGACACATGAAGGCTACTTTAAAATCACTCTCACATCAGTACAAGTTATAACTGAGGAGAAGTTCAGAAATGGGGTGCTTTGACCCAGGGACTTTTAGGGCCTGGAGTTCTGAATACTGTGTAAAAGAAAGGACTAATCAATGACTTCAATGCTTGGTCCGCAGTGCCCTCCAAAGCTCTTCTTCTCAACGCCCCACCGTTCTACTCTGGATGCTGCGGTGGGTCCTGCCGGCGCCCTGCATCCCCCACAGCTTTTCCAAGTAAGTTTTAATGCTTCATCAGCCTTGCTTAGGTTATTCTGTAAACTTAAGCGGCGGGATTTAATGTGCTCAGGGAAGCTAATTGGCAATGCAGTAGCAAGGAGCTAATTCCTCACTAAAAAAAAAAAAAAAAAAAAAAAAAAAATCACAGCGATCCTATTCAGGAGGTTTCCAGAGATTTATCAAACCTCAGCACAGTGAGCAATTGTGAGTGGTTTCCAATGGCATTGAAGCCCAGAGCTGACACCAAGGAAAGAGCTTGTTTTCCATTTGATATAAAAGATCTCAGAGAGACCAGTTGGGCTCTTTCTGAAACCAGTAGCAACACTCCTTTAAAACAGGGAGAAGAAAGGAAAGTGCGAAGGGATTGAGCTGCGTAACATTTCCATTCCATTTAAAATGGGGCACAGAAAATCAGTAGGTACAGAAAATAATTAAAAATGGTCAGGATCACAAAAGGGGGTAGATTCTTCATCTTGAAGAAAATCAACCAGAGCTGTAGGAAATGTTTTCGAGGAAACTTTTCTGTAAACATTAGTAAAGCAAAGTATCAGTCATATTTGGGGAAAGAATGACAAAACTCTCTGAAAGCCCAACATGGGTGCATGCACTCTCACATGCATACAAGTGCCCTGGGACTTCTAAGCTGGATAAGAAGCCACAGGCACAGAATGTGAGGTGTGGTGAGGGAATCAGGATGTGTCCGTTTCAGTTGCACAAGAGAAGGATGTACCCTGCCAGGTGAAGAGCAGAGCGAGGTGAGTGTGTCAAAGGACAGTCCTGCTGCGGCTGCATTCAGACCCTGCTGCCTCCCACATGTGCTTTATGAATGTTTCAGGAGAGCAGTTGCTCCACAGAATGATTCCTGACAAGTGAGGCAGCAAATGCTGGTGTTTAATGAGCTGCAGTCTTCTGAGGGTCTCTTTAGGGGGCCGATACTTTCCCACAGAGCACTTTACACGGATGGGACCCGGCTACAATGGGTGGCAGACCCATGACCAATCCTCACTTTCGCTTGACTCAGCCACACGCGACCTCACCACAATTTTTCACTCTGCAGATGAACTTTAGGAACCATTTCACATGGAAAAGGCCTGGGCAAGGGTCATTTGCCCTTTTGTACGGTCATAAAGCGAGGCTCTGTGTGTCGGTCTTTTCTCCTGTCTCGCATTCCAAGTGAATTTCTGGACACCATTTAAAGCACTTGACTGAAAAATAAAGCAGTGAATGAAACTGACTTTTATAGACTCATTCTAGCTCATCTTCCCATATAACCCTGCCCACCTGAAAAGGGGTTTAGTGGCCGAGCTGAGTGTATGTAGGGACTTGCTGAATACGTAGGCCCATTATCAACTGTGAGGATTGTTTATTAACCAGGACTGATACTCTGCTTTTTTGGAAGTGACCTATTAATTGTCCATTTAACTAGAATGTATTGAATTCAAATAGAAAAATAGAAACCATGACTAAACGTTTTACCCGCTCCTTCAAGGTGGTCCTCTGTGAGGGCAATTGAAGATGTGTGCAAATTAAGGAAACGTTTATTACCAATGTAGCAGGCAAAGATGTTGGTATTAGAGACTTAAATCCAAAAGCTTGATGCCTTCTGACAGTGGCATCTGTAGATTAAACTTTTAGTGTTAGGCTCTGGGAGGAGAAATTAAAAGTGATCTCACACTTAGTTACCTCATTTTGATAGAACACTGGCCTTTACTTCAGAAGGTCCCTAGATATACAGCTCAGGTTTGTAGAAACTGGCAAAAACATTTCATGTCACAGAGCTGTTCTTGTATGTATGTAGGAGGGCACATGTATTTATTTTATAGTGGTGTTTTAAGTGTCTCTGAGCCATAGAAGTTTGGGCTTGTTTAAAAATAATAAAAAACATTGGGTTAGTTTAACAGAGCATATTGAAAGTAATGCTGAAATTCTCTTCAATAACTTCATTTTTCTCAAGAGCTTGAATGGTTATTTTAGGCAAGTCTCATTTCCTTTTACTGTTTTCCAATCTCCCCTTCTTGGTGCCTCTGTGTACCTATTGATCTAAGTGATGTTCATCCCTGAGGACTTAAAGTTCTGTGTTTATTATTTTATTTACTTATTTTAAATATATTATTTATATTTTATGTGTATGACCATTTACCTGCATGTATGTAAGTGTGCCCGTGTCATGCAATGCCCGAGGAGGTCAGAAGAGGGCTTTGGAGCCCCTGGAACTGGAGTTACAGATGGTTGTTAGCTGCCATGTAGGTGCTGGGAACTGAACCCAGGTCTTCTACGAGAGCAGCCAGTGCCCTTAGCTGCTGGGCCATCTCTCCAACTCTGTGTTTATCTTTTTGAAAAATAAGCACACAGATGAGAAATTAGTGCAGCTCGGATGAGGAGTAGGAAATGCTGTGCTTGGCTTGTCTGCCTTCCTGAAGTTGGCCTTTAAAGGCCATTTAGAGCTCCAACAAGTGTTTGTAATAAATGGTGCTGTGTCACATTAGTAGCTATTACCCTGAAATGAATCTCTTACTTTTTTGTTTATAATCTTCATTCATATTTGCAGCACATAATAGCATGGCAGAATTATGCTGTCAGTAGAGAATCCCACTTCAATAACTGTGATACCCAGGCCTGGCTAATGAGGGTTACATCTGCAGAGCACTTTTTCACTAAGGGTATTTACTAGATTTCCTTTTTTTAATAATAAGAACAGTATTTATGTCCAAGGTGCTAGGTGATTTTCCATTGTACGGAGAAAAAATAAAAAAGGAAAGTGAACTGTCGAAGTAAACTTGTGTTAAGTTTCAGCTTGGACAGCCAAAAATAAGGTTTATACTGAAAGTTTTAACAACTGACAAAACCGATGGCTGTCACTGTTGTTTCATGGTGATGACTCCACTCTTTCCTAAAGCCCGGGTCAGATCTGCACATTTGTGGCTAAGCAAGTAAAGTGTCCTTTTGACTCTTAGCGTGGTTCATTTGTTTGATACTGATTTGGGTTTTCTTGACTTCTCAGATGTAGGGTTGACTCCTTGTTGCGATGTGGGAACAATCATTCATCCAGTGCCCTTCTCACAGGTAGTAAATAGTTTAATAGGCTGTTTAAGCACAACGCTTGCAGTAGAGAAAATTAAAAGGCACTAGTAAAAGCTGTCTCAGCCTCCAGAGCATTGCGTGGAAAAACCTTTGATATTATATCCATAAAGCTATTTTCAAAACGACACAGTTCTCAGCCAAAATGAAAAAGAAAATTGTGGTAATGGTGTAAATTGTGACTTTTTAAAAAGCTACCTAAAAGGTAGGACTCTCCATTAGGAAGGAGAAGAAATGCTAACGCATAATCGCTCCACCTTGTCTTTGAGTTACAGCTCGAACTGACCCTTCAAGAACTTTATGACCTAAAGACAGAACTTCAGTTTGGAGAAAACAATCTACATCTGAGCAGAGGAAACCTGCTGCGATGGCTTGCTTGGTGCTCTTCCTGAAGGCGCACTTATGGCCTACTTTTTGAGGTCATTTTACCAGCTTCCTTCCTCCTTAAAACTTAGGAGAGTACCATTTCATCTCTACACCTGAGCATAGTGTTTTTGGAAGGCAGCGGGGCAGGGGCCATGTTTTCATCCTCATCGCTAGGCAAGGCTCTGATGGAGACTGCTGCCCCTCACCCACCTGCTGATTTTCTTGCTCTCAGTTGGAGCGGTGAGCAGGCTGAAGAAACTGACCTGGACCCTTGAACACCTAGGGAAGACCGAATGAGATTTTAAAATATGCATATACACAGACATGTAAATATCTAATAGCAATAAAGCTTTAACTCAATCGTTGTAGCATCTTTGGAGGGATGTGGTGTTTTTTTTTTTTTTTTTTAAGAAGCCTAATTATATTGTTTGGGCATAATGCAGTTTGTAGAATAATTTGAATGTTCAAATTTTTATTATAATAATATAATTATTATATTATTCTACAGAATAATTTGAATATAGGTATTGAATTCTCAGAAGTGAAGGGAGGGGCATGCCATAGACAAATGACATTAGGTCAACCAATCAATCAACCAAGAAGAATGCTTAGAGGAGTTAGAGACTCAAGACAATAGATTTTCCGAGTTGATGGCTCTATTGAATTCTAGAGGCAGTGAAGGTATTGGAGTTCCTTTCCTGGAGTTCAGTTCCTTTTCTGGTTTACTGTTTAGCCTGGAAGATATTGGTAGGGACTTCTAGGGATGTGAGCTGTTTGTCCCTGACCTTGACTATAATCCCTTGCCTGAATCATATGAAATCAAATAGGGCTGCATATAGAAATCATGATTTTAGGTTCCCCAAGTGAGTGTAAAGTACAGAATAGGGGAGGGAGAATGGGCTGGCTGGAGCAAAGCAGGCCAGAAACGTACCTCAGTGTGTGTCTGCAAACTGGAACCAGCATGCAGGCCATGTTTCAGTCACTGGCCGTGCAGGTGAGAGGTCATGGGTCCTGCTAGACTCCGAAAGTGCCTGCAGCTTGTTGTGGCAACCCTCTTTAAAAGTCACACTGAACTCTCACATAAAAACAAAAAAACAAGCTTAGAGGGGGGACAGCAGCTCAGACAGTGAAGACCTCTGCAGCTGTCATGCCCAACTTGAAGGGTGGTGAGTGGGCATAAATTGAGTAGAATCGTACACCCAAGTCCTGGATTATATGGAGACTGGAGGACAGATTTCAAATTCAAGGAAGATGGGGAGACAAATGATGTTTCCTCTTTCTGACTTCAGATCTGTAGAAATTACATAGACACAGACACATATATGCACATACACACAGATGCACATATGCATTTTAAAAATAATGGTGAGTAAATTCCTCATGGAAGCCTCTGGAAATGAGGGACGAAAACAGCTGTAACTGTTAGGGACAGTGTCTCTGGAAAACACCTACCTACAGACAGTATCCCCACCCCACCCCTGCCTCCTCACTATAGAAAAGCTGATGTCAGGAAGTAGAGACACAGACTCAAGGTTTAAATAACATGCATTTGAAGAAACGGTTACTGAAGGTGTTTTAGCTGGAGGGGCCTGGATTAAACAAGTAACTCAGTTTCCCCTAGTTCTAAGAACCTATCTAGTCCATTAGAAGAATAAGAGTCTTCTTTCTGAAAGGACTGTGGTAACCTCCAACTTGAGTTATCTTGAAAGAATCTTTAAATATTTTTAACTAAAATTCTGAAGCGATCTAGATTCAGTGCTGTTTCCTAGACTTGTGACTTTCCTTACAAAGCCACAGGGGCTATGATTTGTTTTTAAAGTGGAAACTAACAACAGGGCTTAAAGGAGTGGGAAGTAGGTAGCCCTCCTTGCCCTGTTGTGGCCTTCGGATAGCCCACGTGGGGAGTAGAGCTCAAAATGGGACAGGGCTGAAAGGGAGGCTTGGTTAGGGCTGGGCATCAAGCTATTCTTGTGCCATTGTATCGACTCCTTGCAGCATCTTTACATAATCATATCAGATCCTGAAGGTCTCAGAAGAGTTTGCTTTGTACTGTACTCACTGCAGTCCAGAGGGAGCAGCTGTGCCGACTAGGAGACACTACTGTCCCGAAAGACAGACAGGCTTTTCCTCTCTAACCAAACGGGCCTTTGTATCTCTCCTCCCTACCAGGAGAAGAGCGCGGGCTGCCTCTGCTGACCCAGGACTCAAATTCCAAAGCTCGCAGGGGAATTTTAAGAAGAGCTGTGTTCTCAGAGGAGCAGAGGAAGGCTCTGGAGAAAATGTTTCAGAAACAGAAATACATCAGCAAAACAGACCGAAGGAAACTCGCTGTCAGCTTGGGACTAAAGGAATCACAGGTACTAATGAGCAGTAAGATGCATCCAGCTCCTGGTTTCTTCAGGAACACGATGGACTTCACTCTGCAGATATTTCTTGTGCTGTATCCTGGAGTGTTCTGAGATGCTTGTCATGAATTTTCAGTAGGTGGAAACACATTATACAATTCCTATTAAGAGACAGGTCCACCCACCAAAATGGTGAGGCTTAGCAATTGGGTAAATTCATTTTCTGAAATGAGGAGAAATGCAAAGGATGCAGCACACACACACACACACACACACACACACACACACACACACACACACACACACACACGTGTGTGTGCACACGCGTGCATATGTGTCTTTATATTCAGAGAAGCAGACTAAATAATCCCCTTCAAAAGTAGCAACTAATTTTCCTGTCTTGCTTTTCACTTCCCATCCAAAATCAGAGCGTGACTGTGGCTCTTGGACGCTTTTGCATGGGCTTCTTTATTCTGACTTTGAGTTTATGTGACGACGGCCTTTGGGCCATCTCACATAACTGTACCTACTTTCTGCCACATCTGCACCTTTCTTCCTCACTAATGTTTCATATAGTTGTGAATTTTCAGGGTACAGCATGCTGCAAAGTTGGATGCACTTAGAAATCAATAGCACATGAAATGCTAGCATTTTTAGGCCGACTCTTGTAACCATACTAATTTTCTAGAAGAAGAAATGTAGAGAACTGAAGGGAGATCCCACGTCAAGTGGCAGAGCTGGACTTCTATGCCCCAGGAAGCCTGGTTTGGGGTTCATGGTTTCCTTAACTGTGAGCCACCATATGCAGCCGTGCAGGGTGTGCAGTGTAGAAGGACATCGGCTGGAGGGAGAGGCAGCTGAGAAGCAGCAGTCACCCCTCTTTCTGAGCTGGGTTTGCTGGTGCCAGCATATGTCCACCAGGATAGTTCAAATTGGCAAAAATGAGCTGAAAGTATTGAAGAGAGGCTCTGCCTCAATGATAAAACTCCCTCTAATCTCACTTCCTTCTCCTGGCTTCCTTTTTACAACCTGCCATGCCGTTCCTGACATTTGTAGCCATAGGAAGCACTATGTGGTGCAGGCAAGGGTAATTCACTGGGTGTTCAGGTCCTGTCCTCCTGACTTGTTGCCAATGAGTCCATATTCTTAAGTGGTGAGAATCCTGAGTGCCTCAGAGCAATTTTGTGTATTGCTCAGACCGTGGTTGTGTCTCCATGGTATGTTCTGTGCACCACACAGCTAGGAAGGCTGTGAGAGGAAACACTGATCAACACAGGCATGCCCTTGGCCCCCAGGAACTTTCACCCAGTGGATGCTCATGAACACTTATATAACAACAGAAGACCGTATATTGATACAAGGTTCTCACTTTGGTGAGTAGAGGAGCTAGGTCAGTAGTTCTCCAACTAGTTTACAGCACTGGAGTCATGTGGGAATCCCATGTCTGTTGAAGTCAGCCTTGTCACAACCCATATACCTCAGGAAATCAGGTGATGAGCCTGCTTGATGTGTTCTGTGAGCATTGTGGGGCCTCAGTGGGCCTGGCCTGGTGTCACAGGCAGGGCTAGGAAGTCAGAGGGGAGAAAATACAGAAGTCGGGCCTCAGGGAGCCCTTGGGGAGTCTCAGCCTGAAGCAGGTGCTGAAACATGGAGAACAGTCTCATTCCACCTTCCTGCGCTTTGAGAAGATGTCATGTGTAGAGCTCCTAGAGATACGCTCGGAGATCTAGGGCCACAGCCGTGTAAAAATGACAGGAGATTGCCACAGTCTCTCCACCCCAAGGAAAACAGAGATTCTCCTGTTTATACTCTGTCTTTTGGTTCTTCTCTCTAGGCACATAGTTTTACTTAATATATTTGAAAATTCAGATATTTCAGAATGAATGCTTTCATCATATTGAATTTTGGGAAGCATTTTATTGTTTCATATTTATCAATTACATAGTACCCGGTCTTTATTATGATCAAAAAGGAACCTGATCAAGCTAGGGTGAAAATTTGTCTTGCTATACCCTCCAGTTCAGCTTGCTTACTACTGCTGTGTGTTTCTTGCCTTAATTTATTTAAATATCATACGATTTTAACAATAAACATATATATGGGTTGGAGGGGGACAAAGCACAATAATGCAGATGCTTGTGTAATGCTTGCCCTGTGCCCTTGCCTTTGATGTCATTTAATCCTTGCAAGGCTCGTACGAAATAACTGCTATATATTTTATTAACCGTATTTTATAAATGAAGCTGAAACTCAGAATGTATATATGTGTGTATGAATGCAATTTAAGGGGCTGGACAGACCGTTCAGTGGTTAGAGCACTTACAGAGGACCCAGGGTCAGTTCCCAGTACTCACATGTTGGCTAGGAATTGTCCATAACTCCAGTTCCAGGGGATCTGATGCTCTCTTCTGACCTCCACGGACACTTGCATGCATGGGTGCAATTACATACATGCAGGCAAATACTCATACAGATAAAACAAATAAATTTTTAAAAATTACAAAAAGAGAACCCACACATTCTTTTTGGCTTTTCCATTGCAAAGCATCTCTATAACTCAATGTGAAGATCAAACAGTAGAAGCTGGAGGCCCTGAGAACCCCCATCCACCTGTACTCTCCAAAGTTGTACACTATCCTAGCTTCCGGCAACACAGATGAGTGGAGTCTGTTTTGCTCCTTACATAAATAGAGCCTTTCGATATGTATTCTCGTGTATGGCTTCTTCAAGGCTGTGTTTGTGAGTCCTCACACAAAACTTTCTGCTCTCGTTCCTGTGCTATTATCGTTGTGTAATAAAGCCACTCTGCAGATGGCAGCCATGGGTACCCCAGTCTTGGTGACCATGAATAATGCCACTGACAATGTGCACCATTCTGTTCTTTTCTCTGGATGTTTTGGGATGAGTCCCTCTGGGTCTGTGCGTGTACATCTGCTTCAATTTTTTTCTGACCTATGCCTCATTCTGTAGATAAACTTTCCAAGTTTAAGTTACTTCTGAATTTCACTACTGCATTTCTTTGTGTACTTCAAGAATATTTTTGTAAGATAGGGAACCAGGAATGGGATTTACATGTTAAGGGGTTTGTGTGTGTGTGTGTGTGTGTGTGTTAAATTGTGACAGATTAAAATTTTCTTTCCAAAACAGTATTGCATCAATATAGACAATAAATTATATAAAATTTTCATTCAGATGAATACTTTCTTGCAAACCTTTTATACTTTATAATTTTTAAAAATGTCATCACCCTATGGGCAATTGTACTTTTTATTATGTTAATTTGAATTTTCTTAACTGCCAGAATTTTAGGGACTTTTGATGATTTACTGACAATTTGTGGTCTATGAACTGGCTTACTATGGTTGCACAGTTTTCTATCTATTGTCTGCTGCCATGCAGCAATTCTTCTGGATATTAATAAAAATATTTAGACTATTATATTAGTTCTCTTTTCCTGTTATAAATATTGCAAAATTTCTCTCCAAACTTATGTGTTTATTGTGGTAAAGTAATATAACAAAATTAATCATTTTAACCTTTTCATGGGGTTTTCAGGTCAGTGGCATTACATTCATTCACATTGTTGTATAACCTTCACTACAGTTCATCTCCAGACCCCTTTTTTATGATTTTTTAAAAATTTATTTATTTATTTATTTATTTATTTAGACCCTTTTTACATCGTGTAAAACTGAAACTCTGTATCCGTACCCCACAAACAAAACAAAGCAGCACAATAAAACCCCAAATAAACAATACCTCCTCATCTCTTTGGACCTTGGGCCCCTGGCAACTGCCATTCTATATCCTGCTCTAGTGTAGAGGCCCAGGAGGTCTGCCTGCTCCAAGAATCTTGTGTGAGTGGACGCATACAGCATTTGTCCTTTATCAACTGGATTATTTTACTTCTCATAATGTCTTCAAGATTCATATGTAGTAACGTGTTTCAGAATTAGCTTCCTTTAAAGGTGAATATTATTCCATTATACAAATGTGTATATTATTTTTGTCTCATCCTTTATATAGCATAACAAACCTACACAGACCTTCATTACTTGCTTAGGCTTTCTCAGTTTTTCTATTTTGGAAAATATCTCCATTCCCATATCCTTTTAACATCTTTTACATTCTCATTTTCTTTTTTTTCTTTTTTAAAAAATAATTATGAGACATAATAGAATTAAAAATAAGTTTTCCATCTGTTGTGAGACTTCTTTTCCTGGGGATGCTAAGTAATGCTTATTCCCTTTTAAGGTTTTAGTGT